AGGATGACACGGCATCGCGCTCCCTTGATGCTTTCAGGTCTTCCATGGCGGCGAAAGCGCCAGCGCACGGGCCGCTTCGGGGATCTTGTCGGGGTCCGGGACCTTGAAGACCCCCGACGCCACCAGGACGATCTCGCCGCCACAGACCAGGTCGCAACTGCAGAAGCAGAAATTGATCGTGCGCCGGGCAATGCGCGCCTTGCCTTCGAGCCATTGGCCGAGCCTGGCGCCGCGCACGAACTCGCTGGTGAGCGAGATCGTGGGGTGCGGCCAGAACATGCCGGTCGAGAAACCGGAGCCGACGCCCATCACCATGTCGGCGACGGTGACCAGCAGGCCGCCATGCGCCCAGCCCATCGGATTGCCGTGCCGCTTCTCCAGCGGCAGCCCGATCCGGAGCCCATCCTCCTCCGCCTTGAACCAGAGCGGTCCCGCGAGCGAGATGAAGTCGTCGCGGACCTCGAGCTTGCGGAAGCCTTCGGGCACCAGGGCGGAAGCGGTGGGGGCGGAAGCGGTCATGGGTCGAGTCCATCCCTGGAAGCGACGAGGCGGTCGAGCATGGCGCGCACCACGGGATCGAACGGCGTGGCGCGGTGCGTCTCTTCGTTCAGGGATACCATGATCACTTTCTGGACGGCGGTGCAGTTGCCCGCACCGTCGAACAGGCCCTGGCCCACGACGCACTTGCGGTCATGCGCCTCGATCAGGCGGCAGCAGGCGACGGCCGTGCCGGGATAGAACATCTGTCGCTTGAAGTCGGCCTCGATGCGTCCGACGACCATACGAAAGCGCGGAAGCCCCGTGCGCACGATCTGACGAAGATATGCGACGCGCACGTTCTCCAGCAGCTCGAGGAAGGCGCCGTTGTTGATGTGCCCGTTGGCGTCGACGTCGGCGAAGCGCAGGTTTTCGGTGGTCGAGAAGCCGTAGATGCCGCGGTCGGCAAGATCTAACGCCATGAAGACTAAAGCTCCGAGAATTCCAGGGTGAGATGCGCCGCTTCCGAGGGCGGCACGACGAGCCGGCCCGAATCGGGCTTTAGGAAATTGACGCCGTTCTTCTTGAGGAGCGCCTCGCAGGCCGAGAGGTTCTCGACCCGGATCGTGAGCAGTGCCGGATGGTCGCCCGGCCGCACCGGCGTGATGCCGGGATAGCGCACGGCATAGTCCTTGGGGGTCATGTAGCCGGATCGGCTGCGTGCCGGTGTCGACCACCAGCCCGTCACCCTCGCGCTTGACCGAGTCGGAGCCGAAATACTTCTCGAGTTCCGGAATCCACTTCGCCGGCTGCTCGGCGATCACCGTGACCCCGAGGATGCCGCGCGCGCCGTTGGGATGGGCCGCCCATTCGGGGCGATAGACCAATTCCGGCGTGAGATGTTCGCAGACGAAGAATCCGACCACCGGCATGTTGGTCTTGGGGATGCGGACGGTGCGGAACTTGGCCAGTTCCGTCTTGCCGGCCACTTCGACCGCGCGGTCGAAGAACAGCGGCGCATCCGGGTTGAGGCCGGCGGCCTTGAACGCCTCGAATGCCACGTCGGCGCCTTCGGTCGCCAGCGCCACGTTGGCGAGGCCGCCGCCGTCCTTCAGCCATTCGCGACGCTCGGCATTGAACTCGGTGTCCTCGACGATGCCCAGGATCTCGAAGTAGTCGGTATCGAAGATCATCAGGTGATTGGCCGTGCCCAGCTTCTTGTGGAAGCCGCGCGGCTGGACCTGGAAGCCGAGCTTGCGGTAGGCGGCCTCGGCCGCATCGATGCCATCGACCATCACCACCACGTGGTCGAGTCCCGTCACCGCACGCTTCATACCGGCCTCCTACGCACCATGTTGACCCCCTTGGAGGTCATGACCAATTCGCCGTTCTGGTTGATTGCGCTCCAATGCTCATGGATGACGCCCATGGTCGGGCGGCTCCTGGAGGGCACCTTGTCGGCGCACTCGACCCAGGCCGTCAGCGTGTCGCCGGGCCGGACCGGCTTCAGCCAGCGAAGCTCGTCGACGCCGGGCGAGCCCAGCGCCGTGCGCTTGTCGACGTAGCTGTCGACGAACAGGCGCATCAGCTTGGCGGCGACATGCCAGCCCGAGGCGCAAAGCCCTCCGAAAAGCGAGGACTTGGCGGCTTCGGCATCGACATGAAACGACTGCGGATCGAACTTCTCGGCGAACTCGATGATTTCGTCGGCCGTGAAACTGGTGGAGCCGAGCGGGTATTTCCGGCCGACTTCGTAGTCTTCCCAGTAGCGGGGCTCTGCGGACTGCATGCTTCGGTCTTCGCAGAGCATGG